ACATTATCAACATTATTAACATTATCAATATTATCATATTATCAATATTATCAATATTATCAATATTATCAATATTATCAGTATCGTTAATATATCATTGTCTTTTATTTTAACTATAGGTGACGGATTTGGAGTAGGTATATCTATACATCATACTCATCATACTCATGAATATCATTATGACAGGATTACTTTTTACTCAAAAATAAAAAAATATGTTTAGGTTGGTACAAATCAAATCCTGATGTGACATCAACTCCATGTATATTCACTTCAATCACTCCTGCTTGGAATAATCAAAACTTGTCAAGACTTGCTGAAGAAATTCAAAGTTCTTTGGTATTTGCTCATGTTAGAGCTTCTACAACTGGTGTTTTGTCAGAAACTAATTGTATGTTTTAATCATATTTATGTAATGTTTCGATCCGTAATCCGACCAATTCAGATGGATCCGATAATTCGGATTAAATGCGGATATCCGTATCCGTTAACTTTTAACGGATGAATCCTAATGTATAATGGATTATGGATAAGAATAATCCTAGAAATCTTTTACAGTATGTGATTGGTCACGATAGACTTTGATGATAAATACGTTAGCTAGAGCTGGATTGAGAAAGCAATACACGAGACGTAATATTGATTATGATCGAAATTAACGAAAGGATAATTATTGCATCACATTACTATGCTTCATTCATAGCTTTAGTAAAAGCTCTTATGTGTTTAATCATTTTAACCTTACAAGATTTAATTTTTAAAAATTTAAAGTAACTTCCATTAGATAAAGGTCATTTGGCATCATTTAAACATAAAATAGTCTTAACAAAGCAATGGATAATATAGTAAAACATGTAAACCATAGATATATAGAATCCGGATTTAATAATTGAATTCGGATTTACCTAAATTCGGATTGTCATCCGGATACATTAATGAGGATCCGAATTTAATCCGAATGGATTTTAAAAATTAGGATCGAGACATTATATTTATGTTGTATTGGTCAACATTGTTTCTCATGTTACTCATTGTTATTCATGTTACTCAAAATTTGTATTAGGTCATCCATGGAAATTTGGCCGTTTGATGTGGATGCATAATGGACATATCGCTGATTTTAATAAGGTTTTTATTCATTAATTTGTTATTACTTATTCAATACTACTGTATCTGTATATTACAATTGTTTATATTTTAAACTTTAATTATGATAATTATGTTTATAATTCTACCTATATAGATTAAAAGAAAATTGCAACAATCTTTAAGAGATGATATATTTTTATTTGTTCAAGGAAACACTGATTCTGAATGGGCGTTTGCTTTGTTTCTTAATCAAGTAAGTCTTATTATTTTGGATTAGATAATATTTTGTGTCTCTTTGTTAATAACACATTAGCATATTTATTTTTACTGTATTTTATTTATTTGTTTATTCCAACTTATTCCAACTTACTTAACTTACTTAACTTACTTAACTTACTTAACTTACTTAACTTACTTAAGCTTGATGACCCAATCAATGGTCAATTTGATCATGAAACTTTAAAAATTGCAATGTTAAAAACTATTGACCAATTAAATAATTGGGCTGAAGACGCTGGAATTCATGAGGTATCTTGATAATCGATTTAATATGTTATTACATACATATTATATTTCAACTTTATATTTATTTATTTATTTATTTTATTTATTTTTTATTTATTTTTTATTTATTTATTTTATTTACTTTTTATTTATTTTATTTACTTACTTTTTATTTAAACATAATTAGACATCCTTATTAAATTTCGCCGTAACTGACGGCCATTCTGTGATATGTACTAGATATATCAACAGTAAAACTGATGAAGCGGCTTCTTTATACTTTTCTTCTGGTATGGCCTGCATGGCTAGCCTGATTTTTAGCCTTCTGGTCGTGAAATTAATTTCAGGCCAGTACGGCAG